ATTATCACAAAAATAGCAATTTTTTGAATATGATAGCCAATTTCATCTCCAATACAAGCCCAGAGGTAATTTTTTTTTTTTAAGTAGAGTAAATTACATATGGTTTAATTTAAAATACATATGAATTCGTCAAAAAAACATCTGTATTAAACCAACCTTTTTTTTAAAATGTCGTGGCGATTTTATGTGAAAATAAGTTATAAAAATATCAAAATTTACTGATTTCAAATATTGTAACATTTTTGATAGATCTCTCCATTTATGGGAAACGAAGGAAATTTTCCAAATTTTCGAAGGTAATGTCTTCAACTAAACATCTATTGACTANGGTAATGTCTTCAACTAAACATCTATTGACTATCGTTCATTATAATAGGTTTAGTGAGAACTAAACTTATAATGAATAAACTGTCACAAAAAAATAAATAAATACACGCATAGTATTATCAACGGACATATCAACGTTATTATAATTATAATATTTCATTTATTTATATCAAATGAATTTTTTCATTCATGTATAACATTAGATGATACTTATAATATCTATAATAAAACTTATACATAGCATTGATATTTTGATTAGAGACAATATTTTTAGGCTTATTATCTCGTATTTAGTATTATTTTGTGAAATAAAAACTTCATTGCAACAAGCCAATTTGGGGAGTTTTAATAATAATAATATACTTTTTTAAGTTGATTACATAAATAATGTTCACTTAGCTTAAACAAATATACTGGTCGTATAAAACATTGAAATCCTTGGTGATAATCGAGAAAACAATTGATATAATTTAGTACAAATAATTATTCCTATAGTTCAATTTTGTAAAGAATAATTATTTCATTTTACTATACTATTTACTATATTTTTATGTATTGCTTTTTATAAAGTTCACTTTATTAAAAAATAAAAATCATTCTAAGAAAATTTAATAAAAGAATAATTCTTGGCATTATTAAACGTATAATGGATTTAAAAATTGTTCACAATACATTAAATAAAAGTAAAGCATTATTCGGGTTACTGAAAGGAGCTTGGACTCGTGTAAAAAAATTATCTTTGAAAAAATGTAAGTAATTAAAATTAAAACTAAAAGTTTGTAGCTTAATTCTTTAACGAACTTTAGCAACTAATAAAAAGAACAGTGTATGGACATATAGCAAAAATCAATTACATCAAACATATAAAAAGTGTTTCTGTTGTATCTGCATCAAACCTGATGCAAAACAATCAGACCACGAAAAAAGCCCTAAAGTTAATAGTAATAATAAACCAGAAATTAAGACAACGATAAAAGAAGAGATAGTAAATTTGACGATTCCATCAAATCTTGATGAGCTTAAAGCACGTATATTATGGTTTTTAATATTATTATAAATACATTACCCATTTAAAGTTGAATAAACAATACAATAGCGGTATTTTGATAATAACATAATTGCGTTTCCCTTAAGAGAGTGCATAACGCAATTACCATTATAAGACTTTAACATCAATAATTTTTAAACTTATAAATCCTCATTTTGAATTTTTTCTTATAAAACTAATTATAATAATAAAATTAGATATATTCTTGGACTACGGTATTCAACACTTTAAAATCTACCCAAAGTGTTGAAAAAGTTGTAAAAACTCCTCCGCAAAAGAACCAAGAACCAAAGAAACCACTGTTTAGTCTACCACCAAAAACTGAAGCTAAAAATGTTTCGCCAGGTAATAACAGTTTAACTTTTAAAATATGTATTTGGTAAAGAAAAATGTTCAATTATAGCCAATACTTTATAAATTATTTTTCAGTGTGCCGTGGTATTAAAAACCAAGGAGCAACTTGTTATTTAAATTCTTTCATCCAAGTTATGTTCCATACGCCGGAGTTTCGTAACGAGTTGTTGAAGCTGACATTCCCTAATGATTCCGGTGACGACAATTGGTTTAACGTAGCTTATCAACTTCAAAGGCTTTTCGTAGAACTACTTAGACCTGACACATCGTCAGTCAAGACTAAAGACTTAACAAAAAGTCTTGATTGGACTTCGGAGGACACAGATATCCAGCAAGACGTCCAAGAGTTTGGTCGAAACTTTTTGGGCATTTTGGACGAGAAGTTGCAACTTACATCGTCCGCTAACATGATTAGTAATCTATTTAGTGACAAGTATAATGTATTTACTATAAAAATGAACGTGACTGTTTTTTTAGACTTTATTAGTATTTTATTAGTTCATCGTGTTTACTATTCATTATCATGTTTCAGGCATTCAGGTCGAATACCTTACTTGTACTATGTGCAATATAAGTAAAGAACAGTACTCCACATTTTTTGATATTTCTCTGCCTATTCGCTCTATTGATGGAAAGACATCATATGACTCGCTGGTAAATATATATAAACCGTAAAATTATATGTTTAATGTAGAAAAAGCAAAATTAAAGTTAAATTAATAAATTTGTTTTTTATATAAATATACTTGACTAATAGGAATACGCAATAGAACAATATTTAAGACCTGAAATATTGGACGAACATTTTTGTGACATTTGTGGAAAAAAAAGCAAATTTCTAAAGGGGCAACAATTTAAAGAGCTCCCGTATATTTTATGTTTTCATCTAGGTAGGATTAGTTATAACATAAATAGTCTAAAGCCTGAAAAAATAAATGACAAGTACGTAATGTTTATGTAAACGTAAAAAAAGCATTGTTATGAATTTTTGTATGAAATTTTATTTCAGAGTATCTTTTCCATTTTTCATTTCAATGGATGTGGATGGCTATAATTCCATATTTGAATTATACGGAGTGATCATTCATAAAGGAGAAGCCACTTTTGGGCACTATTACTCATACATAAAAGATTTCAAGTCGGGACAATGGTTTGAATGTAATGATGATATTGTTACTCTCGTAGGTATTTACATTTTTTGAAAAATACCACAATTATGAGATTATAACCATTACACAGATACCACCACATAAAATTGAAAGTACTTTTAGCGGAAAATCAAGCGCATATATGATAATGTATCGACTTTTTGATAGAAACAGAAATCGAGAAGCTTACACAATTGATGAACTCCCAGCGCATTTAAAGTAACTACTTAAGTACTTATGCATTNGCATTTAAAGTAACAATATTTTACTTATGCATCCATTTAATCATATCCGTGTAGTTTGTCATAAAAAAACAGAGTTCAACAATTCCACAATATAATGAATAATAAAAAATTTATTCTATAGAATAATACCTTTTTCAAATATAACATTTATATGAGAACATAAATATCCTAATCTTGCGTATAATTTGAATAAACTTAATGAATTGATAGAGCCTAAACAATTAGAGAAATTTAAACAACCATAGGCTACATTAATTCACCAAAAAATCATTAAAACTTTTTAAAAAAATATGGAAATGTTAATTGTAATAATACAATTTATGTATAATATTAAATTTTATTACATGATACTAAGAAAACAAAAAAAACTTTAGATACTCTATTCGTGAATAAATTGAATGTTGATGGTCCTGAATAAGTCGCATATTATAATGTAATTTGTGTTCCTTATTAGTTATTTGTTGAATTACTTTTAGAAGAGCTATGGCTTCAGTGGTATAAATTGGACACACGATCCATAATTTGTACATGCATTTATATTTATTTATATTTTAAAATAAAACGAAGAATAAAAATTAAATAAACATTTATAAAATAATAATTAACAATTTACTATGTCATTTTTTAATAACTGTTATAATTTATACTTTTGTATGTAAATAAAACATTTATATTTAACTAATTATTTATAGTTTATGTTTTACTCGGGTTAATTTTATCAAAGAATCAAATGTTCATTAACAAACTACTACAATGTAGTATACTAAAAAATTACAACACAGTTAATGTCAATACAATTAATAAATAAAATTTAAAACCGATTGGTTTTAAAATTTCTCGATTTTGGAGTAATTAAGTTATACTTTGCTAACATTTTTTATACTAATTTAAAGAAAAATAACCCCTAAAAAAATTAAACACATGTTTAGAATTTATATTTGCTGCCTTATCTTTTCGTCAACTGAAAAAAAAAATATCCAATTTATACAATATTCTTAAAAGGCATATTAATTCTATTAATTTCATAAATAATTATGTTTACACATGTAGACTGAAAGAATAATTACTCTTTCAACTATCACGAAAAAAAAAAAGATGTAGTATTTAAATTAATTACACTGTATAAACACGTCTATTTTAACTTCGATTCTTAGTTGAGAAACTATTGGTTTTACTTTGCTATGTTTTATATTTCTTGTGTCACTACACACGATTGGTTCCACTTGTACTCGACAGACTTTGCTTTGAAATAAATCAAAAGAACTCAAAACGTTTCTTGTTGATGCTATCAGCAGTATAATTTAAAAATAATCCCCATAATAAATGTAAATTTCTCAAAAAATTACAATTGCTATAATCAGTCGAAAAATGAAAAAAAACTATCCACAATCCCGATTTCTAGACGTTGAATCCAAAAAATGTCGGTAAAAATTTAGTGGTATTTCGCATAGCAATAGATCATCAATACATTTAAAACTAATTCAAATTATTCTTCCTTAAATGTATTAAGGATTCCAGAATCAAAACGATTGAGTTACTAAAATTTCAAAAAAAGTTGTTAAGAAATGTTGTTTTCATTATTATTTTCAGAAAACATATTTTATTAGGAAATTTTATTCCCTTATTTAAAGTATGATATATTTTCAGCTCCCTCAGCGTTACAAAAGTGTACAAATCAAACCATTATAATCATTTTGTATAACATCCCTCAATGAAATATTAAAATCGTATGCGGATCTTGTATACAACTACTGGATTCTTGTACCTGGATTAGTTAATTTTATATTAATACCTAAGCTATTTCAGAGTAAAAAGCTGTTCATTCTTTGATTGCACGGCCGACGACGTCCCGTCGCTAATGATACCGTAGTATTCTTCCTGTTGTCAAAGTGACAGCGTCAATAAACCGATCTGCACTCGTGCACTGTCGTCATCGACGCTGCTAACCTTTTGACGCCAAGGATCACGCCGGACATCGCGTCGTCGACGCCAGCGAAAGTGCGTGGATGCTTAATGCCATATTTTTTGTATATTGAGCGCTTGACGCTTTTTTTCACAATAATACTAGTATTTTTCGTTCATTATTGTTTTAAGTTAATTTTAAAAATTATTTTTAACTTTTTAGTTTGATGTGCTTTAAAAGCGTGTTTTTTAGTTTTTTTAAACTATATTTATATCATCCTAAGTGGTGAACATTATTTTAAATGATTTATTAATATTTAACCCAGGAATAAGTTTTATTTATATTTATTATTACCTAATATCCTCACAAGAAATAAATACAGTTTCTATTTTATATGAAGGTTTTAAATATTATTGTGCCCTTCATTTCTGGACAGCCTCAAATGTGCCGTAAAGAAGAGTAATTTCATTTATACAAGGCCTTATACGTTACCTTATATTCATAATAAAGCTAATTGTGCCCTTAATTTATGAACAGCCTTAAACGTGCCGAACAAAGTGAGGAAGCGTAATTTTTTTATTAGAATTAACTAGTCTTAGTAGTAAAATCCTCTGCGTGTTTACTCGCTAGCCATGAAGGACTATGCCAATTATTGTTAGATAACGTGAAGCAGTTGACGTAAAGGATAGTAAAAGGTGTATTGAAGACATATTTAATATATATATTAACGATGTTAACTGTGTCCGCACCAGCCAAGGCTTTACGCTGAGAAATGTTGGGCCTCCACAGTCTTGTTGATTATATTTTGAATAAAGATAGACATATTCTTATAATTATATTTTGACAAGTTCAGAGTAAATTTTAAGAATATCGATATCGATTATAGGGAATTCATCGAAAATATTATTAGTAAAAATATAGTATAATATAAACAGAGTTTAAAAAAATATATAAAAAAAGGTAACAAATCATAATAACGCAGTTCCCATTGTAGAAAATCTTTTCTAAATTTGATATACATACAAATTAGTCTCTGCGAGTATAATAAACGCAAAACAATATAAACGATTGTTAACACTGAAGGAAGAAATCACCATAAAATTAACTTAATCAACTACGAAAGGAAATAAAGGTAAGTGTGAATATTTAATTGCAAACTTCTTAGAAATTTACGTAATAAACAAGAATAAGAATAAGTGAGGTAGGGAAATTTTATTATTTGATAAATAACTATAGTTGGACTCCGAGATAACACTTCATACCATACCCCTTTACCTCGCCCCTTTTAATTTTTTTGTTTATTACACACAATATCTAGGATTGAATTCTGTATGTAAATTATTCGAAGCCCTATATTATTATTATAAACATAAGTTCAATAATGTACTCTTATTTAATTTTTGTTGAATAAGTATCCTTTTCAAAGATATTATATTATATTGAGATATAAACATCAATATATTTTAAAAATTTTTCTGAAACAAGATTCAAAAATATTTATATCTGTGTAAAAATATTACTAACTCATGGTGTGTTGGTGATGACGCCTTAAAAGAATGTACCACAATAATCATCAACACAGCAATTAATAATTACTAATATAAAAACGGTAGGACATAAGTCGCGGCTTAGTATGGACGTGGCATAATTGGGAAAAATATAGACGATATCTGACAGTGATTAAAATCACTATCATAAGAAAAGCTTCAATTAAAATCTGTAAGTAAAGTTTAATTTAAAAAATTGGTAGATTATTTCAAGAGCAACAATAACTTTTATTCCTCTAATTTTATGCGATTAGTTATTGAATTTATAATTATAATATATGAATACATAATAATTAAAGTAAATAAATTTAATATGTAAAATATAACATCAAGAATTTTTATCACAAAAATAGCATATTTTTGCATATGGTAGTCATTTTTACCAAAAAGACAAATGAAATGGTAAATTTTTTTTTCAAATTAAAATATATTACATAAGTTTAAATTTAAAGTATATATAAAAATGTCAGTCTTTCTGGAACAATTTCAAAAGTTAAGTTGAAAAAGTTAATTATTTGTGAAAAAGTTGCCATTTTGAAACCCTTTCTATGGACTGGTAACGGGTCAAAAAAAGTAATATTAATTGGGTCATTTTTAAAAAAGTTATAGCAGTTTTAAGTAAAAAAAATTTAAAGTATGTCGAAAATTAGCGATTTTTAAATTTGTAATTTGTTGGGGAATTTCCCCTGTTTATGGGGAACGAGGAAATTTATTTCAACTATTGAGGGTAATGTCTTCGATTATTTACGATTTGTGATCTTTTAACGAATTGTTCATCAAAATCGGTCAAGCGAAAGCGGAGATTGAGCGTTCAAAGACACAAAAAAATAAAAATAAAAAAAAAATTAATAAAATGAGTACCTTCTAGGCTTCACAACTAAGCTAAAAAATGGTTAACAAATTATGAATATTATATAAAAATGTATAAAAACCATTCTAGTCACAACCAGGTACATTTTCAAGTTTATTATATGTTAGTAAAAATACCAAGAACAAAATTATATAGTTGAATATCAATAAAAAGTTTATATAAAGACATTTATTTTATTAACTGCTGCATTTCTGTATAACATATTCATGTATTGCAAAGTAGAGCTTTAAGAAATAATTCAATGGCAATTAAATTATTAAATTTTTTACAAAAGAAATTATTATTATTAAGAAAATAAATAATCAACTATTTCCCCAGCTTGAAAAAATAACAGATTTTTTTCCGCATAATCAATAAATGACTTAACAACATTAAAGTCTCTACCTGAAAATAGTTTTTTTGTAGTAATTATAAATTTTTTAGTAGCAATCAAACTATAATATTCAACAGTTTTCAATTCTGATTTGTTATGAACTGGTCTATCATCTTTTTTAGAGGGTAGTTCTTCGCCGTTTAATTTCATTTCATTTATAGCATTACACTTTAAATCGCAACATAGGTCGTTTAAATATGATTTGAGGAGCTCAATAACAGCGTCATGGTTACCATTAATTGAATTTTTTATCATACACACATAGTCATCATTTTTTAAATAAA